GTGGGTGTTATTTCTATGATCCAACTGCTGGCCAGTCTAACCCAATCTGAAGGCAGAACTCTTTGCTGTGGGGTAGGATATTCAATCTCTGGCCCCATAATTAGCTCCCAGTCTTGGTGCAGGCTCAGTGGTATGTCCAGAGATGAGAGCTGGGCTTGCCAGTGAAGGAAAGGACACTACCCAAGGTACTCTGCCCTGTCTTGGCCACCTAATGGCCCAGCTTGACTCTCTTAGAACTGTCACCTTTTTCCTTAGCCTTTCAGCCCCATCCTGAACTCCTTCTTAGCTTCATCTTTCAGTTTTCCTTTAATGTCCCTCTTGATTAGGATATTGGGGCTGGCAAAGGCAAGTATTATGCTGTTAACTACCCACTCCGAGATGGGATTGATGACGAGTCCTATGAGGCCATTTTCAAGCCGGTAAGTGACTTAATCCTCCCCTTTGGGTACAGGTGGGATTGGTCTAGGGGAAGGGTAGCAAAGCACCCCACCATATCTTAGGCTTCCCTTCCCACAGCTAATTGGGAAGTGAGAGGTGTTTCAACCCATTGTAGTGTGATCAGTTAGGGCAACAGAAATCATCCAAATATTTGTTTTATATCTCCATTTCTGTGGAATCAGCTCCTGGGAAATTATTATTTTTTTGGTGGTGCTGTGCTTCCTGGATTTTTTTGTTTCTTGTTGCTTTACATTGATGTCTGCATATTTGAAGAAGAGACTTACTCCAGTCCTTGCAGACTGGCTTTGTCTGGGAAAGCCCATTCAGGATTCTGGGGCCAGGCTTGCAGCAGGAGTCCTCAGGCAGGCTGGCCTAGTGCCTGTGTTTCTGAGGGATGAACAGAGGAGTGAGATAAACTGCTGCCTGGGCTGGGAAGAAGGTAGTCCAGGATGAGTTCCATGGAGGTGGTTACATTTGAGCTGAACTTTGAAAAACAAGGAGGTGCCCATGTAAAGAAGGAGGTGGGGGCTGAAGAAATGGCATTTGGTAGAAGGAACAGCACCTGCCCAAGTACAGAAGTACCAGTATAGAGCAGCTTGTAGACAGATGTGTAGGCAGAGGGTTGGAAATGGATGTTGGAGTCTGCATTTCAAAGGCAGCGTTGAGTGCCATGCATATGAAGTCCAGTTTTTATTTACAAGGAACAGGAAACTGTTGAGTGTGGCCTAAGGAGTAATCTACTATGTGCCTAACTAGTAGTAAGGGTGACAGAAGTTTCTGAGTTATGGTTTCAGTCCTGTGTAACATTAGACTCTAGTGAGAACAAGATAGACAAAAGTAAAGTGCCTCCTTGCCATATGAGGCTCAAAGACTGTAGGACCAAATGAGGAAAGCGGATGTAGTTAATGGTTAGGAAGCTTCCTAAAGGAAGTGGCACTAGAGCTTGGGCAATGACATAAAGATTAGGGAGGTGACAGCGAGGCCATTCGAGGTTCAGTTATTAGAGCTAGAAGTGTCTTAGAGATCCTTTCAAATAGAAAACTCCCACTTCTCTACCCCACAGCATGAGGGACAGTAGAAAGATATGAGTGAGTGATAAGAAACAAAGTGCTTTACCCACACTTTCTACCCCTGAACCTCATATAGCTTTTCTTGAGGTTGATGGTGACCAGGATGTGTCCTTTTAGGTCATGTCCAAAGTAATGGAGATGTTCCAGCCTAGTGCGGTGGTCTTACAATGTGGCTCAGATTCCCTATCTGGGGATCGGTTAGGTTGCTTCAATCTGACCATCAAAGGTGAGAGCAGGTAGTACAAACATGGGTGGGCAGGGTCCTGCTGAGTGCTCCGGTAACCCAGAACCCCTTTTTCCTCCAAAGGGCATGCCAAGTGTGTGGAATTTGTCAAGAGCTTCAACCTGCCTATGCTGATGCTGGGAGGAGGTGGTTACACCATTCGTAATGTGGCCCGGTGCTGGACATACGAAACAGCTGTGGCTCTGGACACAGAGATCCCCAATGGTACTAGTTCCAGGGCCAGGTTGTACCGGGCAGGAGCTGGTGCTCATGTGCCCTTAGGGTCACAAGCTTATACCCATTGGTCACAGGACCTCTCCTCTGACACTTCTTGTGACAAGACCATAGCCATGGGTTTTTTCTCACTAGTCCTTTTTGATGGTCACCCTCCTGCTTTGGGTGTGGGCAGAAATTATCAGTAATTATTTACAGCTTTGGAATACCCTACTCAATAGGGTAACTGGGTTTATGAGCTAAAGGAATGCTCATAATGAGTGTCCTAAACCACTGGTTTGGGCCTTCCTCTCCTAGTGACACATATGCCACAGCATGTACATTGGAGAATGGTGTTACAGAGATTAAAATCCTGGAGGCACCCAAGTTTCACCCTACCTCAGAGGCATCTTCTCTCTTTTATTGATGGGTGAACAGACCCAGAGAAACCGAGATGATTTTCTCAGGGTCCTGTGGCAGCTAGGTCTCTGACTGTCTTCTCCCTGCCCCAACCAGAGCTTCCATACAATGACTACTTCGAGTACTTTGGACCAGATTTCAAGCTTCACATCAGTCCTTCCAACATGACTAACCAGAACACGAATGAGTACCTGGAGAAGATAAAGTGAGTATATCCCCGGCTGCCTTTTGATTGAGGATTCCAGGCTCTGGTTTGTCTCTAACCAAAGCCCAGCCACCCTTTCTCCCATTGGTCATAGACAGCGGCTCTTTGAGAACCTGAGAATGCTGCCCCATGCACCTGGGGTCCAAATGCAGGCCATTCCTGAGGATGCCATCCCAGAGGAGAGTGGTGATGAGGACGAAGAAGACCCTGACAAGCGAATCTCAAGTAAGACCCAGACCCAGGGCCCTGTACCTTTCCATTCAGTAGGAAGCTGACTTCCCTCCACTCATTTCCCCCAGGCTACAGCCTGTGGAGACACCTGTTTCAAGTTTAAGTGCCTTTAGGTACAGGTTAGGGAGTCCGAGTCCCCTCTTTTCCTTCTCTTGGTCCCTTTCCCTAGTCTCTTGGAGGACACACAGGAGAGTATTGGGCATAGATCCTGAGATAAACTGCCCCTGGCTCCCTTACCCATTCTTTCCATCCACTGTCTCCCAAGTCTGTTCCTCTGACAAACGAATTGCCTGTGAGGAAGAATTCTCTGACTCGGATGAGGAAGGAGAGGGTGGCCGCAAAAACTCTTCCAACTTCAAAAAAGCCAAGAGAGTCAAAACAGAGGATGAAAAAGAGAAAGACCCAGAGGAGAAGAAAGGTGGGTTTGGGTTGGGCCAGTCTTGGGTCTTAAGCCCTGGAGGAGGATCAGTCTATGTAGGGCACCAGGAGGAGGGAGATGACTAAGGCCCTGCCAGCTCCTAGGGGCCACTCAACTCCTTGGTCTTTTAGTGGCTCCCAGAAGTGGCAGAACCCTGAAACAATGAAATACTCCGTCATCTCTACTGCCTGACTGAGCCTGGCTTTCACATACCACCCAAGCCCTTTTCTCAGCACTTCACCCCATTTTCCCAGGGGGCTGCCTCCGCCTACTGGGTTCTGACTCTAGCAGGCTGGGAAACCGGTCCAACCTGTTTGTTTTTAACAGAGCTCACTGGGAGGACCTGGGATGGGCTTTTCTATGTCCAATGAGCTGTACTATTGGGAAAGGGGTTTTAGGTAAGTGAAGACCCCCTGGGTCTTTCCAGAGGGGCTACCCTTGACCATCTCTGCACTCTTATATTCTAGAAGTCACAGAAGAGGAGAAAACCAAGGAGGAGAAGCCAGAAGCCAAAGGGTGAGGAAGAAGCTGTCAGCCATCTCCCTGGCATTGGAGCATCAGCCCCTTTGTCCCACCATTCTGAGGGAAGGCACAGGGACAGCTGATCTCACTTACAAAGGCCTCTTTCAGGGACCAGTCTATCTCTGCAGTTCTAGGCAGAGCTAGGAAGTCCCAGCCCCCAGCAGTCACCTGGGCAGCCAGGGTCCTGTGGAAATGCATTGTATCCACACTTTTGTCTCAGGGTGGTTTATCTCATGCCAGTCTCTGCTTTCTCCACAGGGTCAAAGAGGAGGTCAAGTTGGCCTGAGCAGACTTCTCCAGCTTTGGCTTCTGGCCAAGTTCCCCACCTTTTTCCTCCAATCCCTCAGATTTTTATATTTTCTATTTCTCTGTGTATTTATATAAAATATATTAAATATAAATGTCCCCAGGGACTAGATAGGAACCAGGGCCCTGATCCCAAGGCAGCTGTGTTGAGGAAACTTCCAGCAGTTGCCTTGTTCCCCATCCCTCTTTAAGTCTTTTGAACCATCTACAGTGCAGATCTGGGTGGAAAGGATGTAACCATAAGAAAAATCCTAAAATGACAAGGGTCTGTTTAGTAGCTTTGGAAAGGTGCCCTTACCAAGTGTTCTAGAAGGGATGGGTGGGTCTTCAGGGACCCCCCTATACTTTTCAAACTCCTAACATCAGCCATTGGTTGTTTTCTTATCTTCCCACTGGCCTCAAGAGAGCCAAGAAACTCACACTGCCCTGTCTTCCCCCCAGTTCCACAGGTGAAGGTTGGTAGTCTAGCTTCCTTTCTAAGATACTATTTTCATTTTTTGTGAGACTTTGTAATAAAATGGTACATTTCTATACCCTCCTGAGCTTTTGTTTCCTGACAGTGTCCCTGGGTTGATTTCAGTTCTTCCTATTCATTGGTGTGCCTTCTGGATACCTGGTCCACAAAAAAAACCCGAACTTACCTGTCTTTTCAAAATGCTTTCCTTAAGTTATCAACCAGTTTCCTCACCTTACCCCCAGAAGACCACTCATTAAAGCACCACTAAAGGGATGACATTTATTCCTTTTCCAAATGTTACAGTAAAACCAGGTGGAAGAGAATGGTTTTAGCAATTAGAAAAAAAAAAAAAAGTACAAATCTGGGGTTTGGCCATTAAAAGTTATTTACAACAATGGGAGAAAAAAAGACAACAAGAAGTTGTTTCACATTACAGACCTCCCTCCCACCCCAAAGCCTAATACTTGCTTACCAAGTCAAAAAAGAGACACAGTTGATTCACAAGCTGGAGGTTTGAACTTGAGTAAGACATTTATAAAAACCTAGACAGGGGCGGTGTCCTCCCCAGCCCAGGTGCCACTAGGCACAGCACAAAAGACTAAAAACTCAACAGGGGGAAGGCTGGACACTCAGGGTTTGGGAGTACAAGCACCCCACTTCTGGCTCAGGGATTGGGGAGTGGGATAAACAAAACCTACTTGGAAAAGAACTGGGAGAGAAAACCAGCAATTGCCTTCTGCAGGGCTGGGGACAGGGAAGGAGGTAGGGTCAGGGACAGGAGCATTTCACATCACTAACCTAACTTGGGAAATTGTAAGGGACCATCTTCAACTGGCCTTAAGAGAAAAACCAGATGGCTGATGGGAGAATCCACAGGAGGGAGAGGAGAAAAGGGAACGTGGCTGGGAGGGGGCAACAAGCCCCTTCCTTTCTGGGCACAGGAAGGCAGCCAGGGCACCAGGTCCAGGCAGTGACCTCACAAGGACAGCACAGTTTTTGCAGCTTAGAGATCACCCACCTGTCCCCACCCAGCTACTCATTCTGCTCAATGCTGGCTGATGCAGGGCCACTTTCTGACCCCAAGGGAGTGGATGGCTCTGCAGCCTGGGGCCCTGCCTCCTCTTCTGTGTCTCCTCCCTTGGAGGCAGCACTGGCCTCTGCCCCTTTGGCCTGGGGCTCCTGGCTCTCGGGGGTGGCAGCAGCCTTCCCTTCCTGGGCAGTGCCCTCCTCGCTGCAGGCACCGATCTCCCCCTGCTCCTGCTCTTCCTCTGTGGGTGAGGAGGCAGAAGAATCCCCCCCACCCTCCTTCCGATTTCTCTTGAAGGACAGGCCACTCAATTTAAAAGGCTTCTTGAAAGAGAATTTCTTCTTCTTCTTAGGGGTCTCCTTGGGAGCGGTCTCCCCCTTGGCCTCAGCGCCCTGGCCAGGGGGTGCTGGCTCGATGGCATCACCAGTGGCCCCCGCGGCCTCATCTGTTCCGTTCACGGGGGGCGACTCCCCTTCACCCTTGGGGGATAAGTCTCCATTGCTTTTCACGTGGCCATTCTCCTGCAGGACAGAGGAGACAGCAGTGAGGGCCGGCGTTATTTTCCCCCTCCCCCAACCCGCTTCTGGACCTTTCCAGGTAACGGGGTCCACCACTCGGATCCACTGCGACCCATGTCTGGCTTCAGCCTCACCCCACACCCGGAATCCCGTCAAACGTCGCCTTCGTCTCTCTCAGGCGCGCTGGGACAGCCGCGGAGGCCACCACCGGCAGGAGGCGCTGGGCACCGGGGCCCCCACCCCCCTCCCCCGGGGCGCGCTCTCCATTCCGCACGGAACCGCTGCGGGCCGCGGATCCCGGGCCAAGGGGTGAGCCTGCCAGGCGATATTGGGCGGGAAGCCGCCCCGGGGCGCTGCCTCTCTACACCTGGACGGCCTATTTTCCCAGCCTCCTGCTTTGTGTAAACGGCCCCCACCCACCCCAGGCTCTCCCCACCTCTCGGCTCCCCCCTTCAAAAAAGACCGCGGGCCACCGAGGTCGTGTGTGCGGGTGCATGCCCTCCCCTCCAGGCACCCGCCCCGCAGCCCCTGGGCGCCCCCTTGGCGCGGCCCACCAGCGCCTTTGTTCCCCGCGCGGCACTCGGGCCGGCCAGGGGACAGCGCCGGGGGCCGGGACCGTGAACAAAGAAGGCGGCGGGGCCCGGCCGGCGCCCCCTCCCCGCCCCTCCCCTTGCTTCGCCCGCGGGGGCTGCGGCGCCGAGAACAAAGGGACCGGGCGGGGGAGGGGGCGCCGCGTGTCCCGGGCCGGACAAAGCGCGCGGCCCCGGCCCAGGGCCCTAAAGGGGGCGAGGCGCGAGAGGAGGGGGCTGGGGCCGGCAGTGCAGAGCGCACCCACCTGTCCGTTGGCCTTCGCGGGGGAAGCGCCTGCTGCCTCCTCGGCGGTCACGTCGCCCCGGGGAGCCTTGGAGCTCTGGCTGCCCATAGTGTGGGGGGGGGTCTGCTGGGGGGCGCCCGGAGCCGCCCCGGGCTCGCGCCGCAGGGGATAGTCCGGCGGGGTCGGCCCGGCGGGCGGAGGGGTGGGGCTGGCGCCTGAGGGGGAGGGGTATCGGGGGGAAAGCGAGCTGCACCCCCTTTCCGCGGCCGACCCGCTAGCTGCGCCCGCCGCCGCCGCGCTCCGCGCCAGAATGCCGCCCGCCGCCCGCCGAGCCGCTTATATATATGCGCCCAGAGCTCGGGGCGGAGCCGGACATTTAAATGAGCACCCAATCGAGGGGCGGAGGCGGGGTCGGTCGCGGGCCCCACTTGCGCAGTGGGCGACGCTGGCGGTCCAGTCTCCCCCAGTCCCTCCCGACTACCAGGAGCAGGTAGGGACGGTCGTGGGAAGAAGAGGCAGCGGTCCTTCAGCGAGCTGAACACAGAGGGCATCCTCGAGGAAAGAGAAGCGCGCAGTCTGTTCGTCTTCTCACCGCCTCCCTCTCAGGGTGGGCGTCCGCGCACAGTGGGGTGGCCCCCATCTCCTTGGTCCTGCACTGCAGCCCTTGTCAGTCTCCCCTTGAACTCTTCGAAGGGCTCACATGCCCAGACTCGTCAGACGGCTGGTCCTGAGTTATGCTCCAGAAAATATGATCATAGCAGCCTTGGGGCCCCGCGCTGGGTCGGCGCCACGAAGGTCTGGAGACCTGTCAAAGGTCCCATCCACTTCCCTACCTGCTTGCCGCTACCAGCCTGGGGGCGGGAGGGGAGATGTGACTTAACGCGCGGTCACTCCAGTCAGAGACTTGTGAGGCTTGTCCATCAGTCTCTCGTCCCTCCTCTCAGTCCGTCAGCCAGGACAGAGAAATTCACCTCTCTCTGGCCCTCGACCTGAACCCACTACAAAGTTCCTGTGTGTGTGGTGGGGGTGGGGTGGAGGGATCTGTGATCTTAACGGGCATCTCCCCATGTGAGGCCGATGGGCCTGAGGCGCAGAGACGTTGAAGTAACCCGTCTGCCTTGAGTTTGGTGTCCCCCACTTTCTGCTCTGCTCCCCACCTCATACAGGCAACAGAACCCCAGTGAGGGGCTCAACAGACCTTAAACACTCCAGTTTGAAGGGAAGGGATGGGATGCCACCAAAGGTCCCTCAGCACCTTTGAGAGTCCTTTGGAGACAGCCCCTAAGGTTGCCCAGCCCAACCTCTGACCCTGCCTGAGAGTGGGGAGCCTGGAGGCAGGAGCAGGGTGGAGGTGGCTGGAGACCTTGGTTCTCTTCACTTCTCCTTCCCCAGAGTCCTGGCTAGCCCAGGATGTGTCTGTCTGGCCGCCTACCCTCAGTCCCCAGGAGGAAAGGGATGGGGGCTGGAGGAAGCAAAGTGGTGCTACAGCTCAGCCGGTCCCTCCCTCCCTCTTACTGGTAAGACCTCCTGGGAGGCCTGAGGCTGTGAGGTATGGAAACACCCCAGGGCCTGAGAAATTGGGAATTCCCCACAGATCTGGCTACAGAGGGGTGGGGAAAGCTGAGGTGGCTTCAACATTCTACATTCACTCCTGTATCCTCATCCCCACCCCAATTCTGAGATTGTAGAATACTCTCAGCTTCATTAACACTGCCCCTCATTTTACAGACCAGAACACTGAAGTTCAGAATGGGAAACTGACATGCTCAAGGGCACACAGTAGTGAAGGGTGAGAAAGGGTGTGGAAAGATCGAGACTGGAGGCTAAAAATCCTTGGAGGAATTTCCTGTTGAAATCTGGATCTCCCTGGTCAGAGTGGAGGCAAGAAGACCTAGTTTGGGGACAAAGCCCCATACCCCCACTGCAGCTCACTGACAGTACAGTGACTCCTGCACCCGCTACCACTCAGGGATGGACATCGTGACCTGCTCTCTGTCTTCACCACAATAGGGAACCCACAATGCTGCCAGGCGCTGCCCGCACCGGCTGGCAGGGCTTAGATGAAGGATGTGTGAGTCTTGGAGGGGTTGGGTGGGGTCAGAGGTTAAGATGGGATCCCAGGATTCCTAATCTCCAGGTGCTGCCTGGTAGAGGTGAGAGGCACATTTTTCAGAGGATTCCAGAAGCAGGAAGGAGCAACAGGGCTAAAAGATCTTGAGTGGCTAGAGAGCCTGGTCCATGGTGGAGGGGGGACTGCATCCCACCAGACAATCAGGAGGCTGGGGAGGAGGTGCCTGGGAGCCCAAGCCCGTAGAAAATCCAGGTCCCAGTAGAATCCAACTTCTTGAAGAGGGAGGAGACTTAGTATGCTTGGGGGTGGGTGTCCTACAGCAGCCCTATGGACTCCTCCCGTCCACACTGCCGCTCCTTCCTTCCCAGCTGCTGCCAACCCAGACAATGTGCCCATTGTTCTGTGTCTGGGGGAGCCTGTGTGCAACTGTGTGTGTCTGTTTTTCTCTGTGTGTGACTATGTATTACTCTGTGTCTGTGTTGAGACTTTGTGACTCTGTGTGTGTGTGTGTGTGTGTGTGTGTGTGAGAGAGAGAGAGAGAGAGAGAGAGAGAGAGAGAGACCAGGTGTGTATATTTGTGGTTGTACAAGTCTGCATCTTTCTTTGGCTCTGTGTATTCAAGGGGGAGGGAGAACTTTGGTGATACCTGGTGAGTCTCTGAGACTTTCTGGGTGTGTACCTCTTTCCTTGAGACTGTGTGTTGGTGACTGTGTCTGTGATTGGGTGTGTGACTATGAGTGTGAGTGTGGGGGTAGAAGAGTGACTGTGTGAGTGTTCCCAAAGGGCTTAGGTGTGCCTCACTGGGTCACTGAGGCTGTGGTGGGTCAAAACCTTTGAGAGGTGAGCCTTTGCCAGGATGGAGTGACAGCGAAAGGAGGAATACGAAGGACAGGATACCTGGGATGGAGGTGGAAGAGGAGCTACAGGGACCAGACACCCCACAGACACACATTCCCTATCTGTTCCAGTTCTCCGGTAAGGGCTCAGATCCTGGCCCCGCATATATACAGCCTCAGGAAGAGACATCAGAGTATGGGAGGTCCTGCTGGAGGCCCTAAAGGATGTGGCTTGGCAAAGCCCAATTCCCAGCCCCAGAGTCCCCATCCTCTCCTGGGGGCATCAGCTTGACCTGGAGACCTCAGTTCTGGCCCAGGTGGGCCTTCTCCTGATGTGACTGTTAGCCCATCCTTCCTCTTGGGCTTCAGTCTGCTCATCTGTACAGTGAGAGGGTGGGCCTCCTGATTCATAGTCACAAAGACTTCCCAGAGTCCCTCCTTCTGCTCAAGTGTAGAAAGGGTAAGTGGTGAGTCATGTGGGTCCTTGCCCTCAGGGATTTCCCATCTAGTAGGAAAGACAGGCAATGCCTTAAGGGGACAGAGGAGAGGCCCAAGGAGGGAGAACCTAGAGAGAAGCAATGCAGGAGCACTGAAGTCTGTGCAGGTGTGGGCGGAGGAAGGGCCAAGTCTGGGCCAAAGTTTGGAAGATGAGATCCTAGGATTCAGAGACTGGCTGGGTGCAGAAACAATGGGGACAGGGGAGTGATGCTGGGCCACCCGATTTTCTGTTTTAGGTGACCCATTGCCTGGGACAGGGCATCAGTGGGAAAAAGACTTGGTGGGGGAGTTGCTGAGTCTCAACTTGCTGAATTCAAAAGACCCAAGGAAAATTCAGGAGGACATCAGGAAGCAGCCTGAAGTCTTTAGGCTTAAGTACACACATCCAAACACATTTCCTGAGCTAAAAGCCAGTGCCCAAAGTCTGGTTGGTGTCCTTACAGAGACAACACCCAGAGGGGTTTTTGTTTGTTTGGGTTGTGGTACTGGGGACTGAACCCATGGCCTTATGCATGCTAGGCAAGCACTCTACCATTGAGCTACATCTCCAGCCCAGGCAGAGGTTTTAAATCAATACTGATCCCAGGAAATCTGGCCTCTGATCACTGCCAATAAGAGACACCTGTAGCCAAGAGCTGGATGAGGTCACCCAGGAAGTATCTATGCAGCGGGAGCTCTGCATGGGTGAGGCAGGCAGCAGGAAAGGACCTAGGAGGAGTCATAGATTGGAATAGGAAGAACCCTGGAGTAGAGAATCATGGGGATTCCCAAGCATTGGGGAGATTTATAGAAAGGCAGGAAAAATCAACAGTAATACTGGTCATGACTGTTAGCACTGGTGATGTGCTTGCTGTATGCACAGCCATGTACTGACAGCTCTCCATACATGACCTCAGGACCCAGTGAGATGTGCACCATCATGGTTCCCATTCACAGGAGGAAACCAAATCTTGATGAGACGGATGTGGATGTGAGCGAGATAAAAGGATAAAGCTGGGCCCAGTGGTGCATGTGATTTGGGAGGCTGTGGCAAGAGAACTTAAGTTCAAACTCAGCCTCAGCAACTTAACGAGGCCCTAAGCAACTCAGTGAGTTGAGTCTCTAATAAAATATAAGAAAGGTCTAGGATGCAGCTCAGTGGTTAAGCACCTCTGGTTCAATCCCTGGTACCAAAAAAAAAGAAAGAAAGAAAGATAAAAGGAGGAGGGCAGGACTGGAGAAAAGTGGTTTTTAGGAGCCCTAAGCATTCAGCTCGGCTGGAGGCAACTAGAGGTGCTTCAGGTTGAGAAGAGCAGTGGTGGTGGTGGGCAAGGCACAGGGCCAGGCCTCCAGGGCACAACTCCCAGAACCAGGGCTGCTCCCCATGGGCCCGGGCTCCCTTGACTCTGGCTTGGTTGTCCACAGCCCACCTGCTAATTATAGGCCTTGAACCCTGGTATGGTCCTTGGGCCTCCTCAAGGGTCCTTCACTGGGACACACTATCCAGTCACCAAATCACAAGGACAGGAATTCTGAAAAATCCCTTTCAGAATTTAAGGCCTCCCAGAACTTTGGTTTCTCTCTTTCCTCTTCCTTCCCCTGAAGAGGGAGAGAGATGTGTGTGGAGGGGAGGATGTTGGTGGGGGCTGCCTAAACCAGTGGTGCCAGTCACTACCCAAGAGAGCTGTCTCTGGGGTGCAGCTTTCCCATTAGCAAAAAGGCATGTGCTCCCAGCTCACCTGCTTACCTATCCAAGGCCTGATGAGGTAAACAGAAATTCAACCCAGTTTATCTGGGCCACAATGAGACTTTCCTGACTCACTCCTCACCTCTTCCTGACTTTTAGTTTCTT